GGTGATAAATAAGCGATCATACTTAGTGATCATGGCACTTCTTTTCACCTTCACAAAAAAGAAAAAAGGTAGCCAGCTTGTCAGGTTCTTATCAGACTGTAGAGACGCAAAAGATACCCACATTTTTTTCTTCTTCTTTCTTACCCCATTAATTTCTCCATCGAACATGATTGTTGATGATTAAAAAGTAAATCTATAGACCCTATACACTTGTGGTGAATGTTCTACATGTGGCCACATCCCAATCATTGACCAATTGTCAAAAGTAAAAAGAGTGTGTTAAACGTGTTGCACAAAGGTCCTCCCATGTAGAGGAGCACAGCAGTGGTGTGCGTACCTGCCTCAAGTGATTCTGTGTTGATTAACCCAATTAATAGTGTTTTCTGTCCGTGCCTCTGCTGTATCCCGTGTTACATGTTTGGCCTTTTAATGAGGACTGCATTAAAACTGCTCTAAAGGCAAAGGCCAGCTTGATACAAAGGAGTATGGTTATGTGTGTGTTGCCAGGCCAATTCCTATTACACAACAGCAGAAATTCTGTGTTCCCAATCCAAGCTTTGTTTGACATGGGGAGTAATAGTCAGCAGAAGATCATTAATGACATATGGGGTAATTTAGAAGGATTTGAACTAAGGCGAGTGTCTGTTTAGCTGGGAGCTGATTTATTTGTAATGGCAACATCAGTCTACAGTATATAATGATGGCATATACACAAGTCAGATTTTCAGTCTCTCTCACAACTAGCCAGGCTCAGCTGAAAATCACAAGATAATATCTGCCTACAGGTCAATCATTATTGCTCTCCAGCTCTTTTAGGGGCAGAAAGGTGAAGTGGAATGGGCCTGTCAGGGTTTATGCATACAGCTCGGCAAGTATCTGAGTCGAGGTTACCTAAAGTGCACTGGGGCTCTGCTGCCGGCTCCGTTTGAGGGCCTTAACCAAGGACTCAAGGGATGAGCGGAGAATTTCAGTCGGTGTGTATGTGTGTGTACGTGCATGCATGTTGAAGTATTTTTCTGGGCATGTGTATCCATGTGTGTGTGTCTGTGTGTGTGTCTGTGTGTGTGTGTGTGTGTATATACTAGAGCAGGATCAGTGGAGTAAATCCACACTTGAAAGAGTAGCTCAATCAAGTTCTCCCACCCATTTCTCTCCCTCCCTCCCTCTGTCTCATCTCGCCGATGTTCCCCTGCTCCCAGTTCATGGAGAGTTGAAGAGTTCATAGAACTAGGGAGCAAAAGAGCAATGCTGAGGGCAAAGTGGAACAAGTGTAAACCTTAAACACATCCCACCAGGACCCTTTTCCAACTGTCAATCAATCAGTAAGGAGCAACCAGGGCGTTACACAATATTCAATATTTGCTCGGCTGTCGGTTTCAGACATGGACAAAAAAACGTTCATGTCTTAATAGCGTTTACATCAGAAGGTAAAATTTTATGAAAAATGAATGAAAGTGTAATAAGTGCATATTGTTATTTACATTAATGCAAAACAATATTTAATCTATAATTCTCTCGCCATAATAATAAACACTATTAGTTGTTACATTACTGTGAGTTTAGCTTTGCTGGTTAAGTATAGGTTTTTCCATGGTAGACATCATGGCTCCTAATTCCAAGCATGTCAATTATAAGATTACTTAAAAACAAAACTATCATTATAAGGCCTTCAAGTTCAATTTACCACCAAGTTTGCAGACAAAACAACATTTTGGTTATCACTTAATTCTCCCTCTTTGTTCACTCACTGCAGCTAGGTCCTCCCCCATGACAAGTAAAGCCTGTTCCTTGAAAGGGAATAAAAAGCATGACCTCATTTTGTTTCCTGTGCGATTTAATAAAGGCAATTTTACGCTGCCAAATGTGGAAAAGATGCCCTTCATTAGAACAATGCATGCCCTGCGTGTCCATACTTTAATCCAATCTAGTTTAGCATGATAAAGGGCATCACTGCCAGCCAATCCTATTGCCCACCCACTCATAACGTGTGCATGTACATGCATGCAATGACATGAAGAAATTATAGTGGCCCAAGGACTACTGGACACTTTTACCTGCCATACCGAAACGACATCTCTTCCAATGACATTTAAATTTGTCATAGCCTAGGCCAGTGTCAGGCCATTGAGGTAAAGTGCATTAAGAGTCCGTCCCCTAATGTAACAGCAACCTACACTTGGTTCATTTCTTTGGTCAATACAAATTAATCAGATATTGATACAAGATAGATGTGTTCAAATGAAATATTAATTGAAAATATGCTTCAGAGAAGTAAGCTTTAATATTTGGAATATATCTTTAACAGAGGAGACAAATGTGCCATTGGTATTTTGAAATTACAAAACAAGGTTATGACAAATTTCATTGGAAGAGATGTCATGGAATTTTTATGCCTTGAGAATCAAAGCATTTATAGGTGGAAAAAAAAGGAAAACAAAACACACAATGTCTATCTATTTGAAGGATCTTTTCATTACATTTAAATGAACAAAAGATGCCCTGCTTGAAGGAAAAATGGCCTCCGGTGGACTGCAATGGGTCATTAATTAGATCTATAAAGCTCTTATTTGAATTAAGGGTAGAGTGAAACTTTTTATGAGAAAGATTTCATTAGTGTCTCAAAAGAGCTTGAAGCTGCTTTTCTTCCATTTGAGAAATAAAAAGAGGAGAGCCTCTCCTTAACCCGACAAATGGTTCGGGTACTGAATTAACAGACCATCTTTAATGCACTTGTCAGGCTGCAAAATCCATAAAGATTTCTAGAAAAGTGAGTTTCTGTGGCACTCCATTCAGATGAACGCTGATGACGGGTTCTGCATTACTCTTTACAACTTTGCCACTTGTAGAAATGTATCAACATCCTGCGTGTACATACAGGCTGTGGAGATCTGAAAGTGAAACTGCCTAAAGAAGTGACAGGGAGGCTGAATAGAGACAAGCAATCCTTAGACAAGAGCACATGAATTGAAGTGCTTTCCACATTGTCAGGCTGGGCTGAGGCACGGCAGAGACAGACAGGGAGAACGATCATACTAGACAGGAGACCATAGCATGATGGCACCTTTTGTCAGCTTTTAAATCCAATAATAATAATAATAATAATAATAATAATAATAATAATAATAATAATGTCTGTGTGATCAGATACAGTTTACTCTATTCAGACATGAGGGTTCAGATTAAAGAAGTATTCCACACAACTAAATTATATGACTGTATTGTGATGAAACACATTAATGCTGGTGTTCATACTGATATTCTCATCTTATGAAAACTGCCATTTCGTAGGTTGACAATGGGTCAACACGCAATCTGCAGTTTTAAATCACCTGGAACCGTGCAAGGCCAATGCCGACATAGAGGTGACTGCTTGGGACTTATTTACATCATGACATTGATTGCATCATTGCAGGACTCTCTACTTAGTATTTTTTTTTATTTTGGCACAATGGTTCATCATTTCCCTTGATGATACTTCACTCACCACTCACACACTCACTCACTCACACACACACACCAGAGTGTTAGCCTCTCTGAGCCATTAGCTTAGCTACAACACAACCACTAGTCTAGCTCTTACCACACAGAAATGTTTAAAAACAGCTGTGAATATGCTTTTAATAACTAATCCTAGCAGACTGTGCTGTCCTGTGCAGGTCTCTGATGCATTTTTTACAAATGTGCTGAGAAGGAGGGTGCTAGCAGAATTGGGGGGTGAACTCTTAGCCCTGGTTTACACTGTCAACCTGAGCAGTGCGTGACACAGCACTGTACAGCTGTGCCTGGTATACACTATACACAGCAAGTAAGCTGCGTGGCTGCTGTGGAGCTGCTGCTGCCAGCCCTATCTTTCTATAATGAATTTGCCTTTGATAAATACCATACCATAAAAGTCTTGTTAACATGTATGAATGGATTCTGTCCACGGAAACGCCAGAGAGCTTTTATTTTGAAACAGAACCATGAGATTTTTTTTTTTCATGTCTGTGACATATTCTACAGATACAGACATTGAAACGGTAGTGAAAGGTGTATGTATTGCTCTTATATTGTCGATGAACAGACCCTTTTCAGTGCACACACGTTGCCCAGGTAGGCCGCAAGACGATGTGCATATATATATGTGTTATCATTCCACAATGTCAGTTTTCAGTCTTCCTGCCCTCTTCTACTCTTTGTGTATTTGTTTATAATTAGAGGGGGTCATTATCCTTGGGGTGTGACATGCTCAGTGGTTGCAGAAAGTTTCATAATGCTGCTACTGAAAAAAAATATATAAGCTGATAAATTGTAACGTAGCTATAACTAGGGCAAATATCGCTCTGGCGCGTTTGTTCCTCTTAAAGTGAAATAATGTAAATGAAGCACAAGTCTAAACATAATTCTGCTTTTACGGGACAAAGTGCATGAAGAAAACCAGCTTAACAGCATTATAATTCAAATTAATCTCTTCTTTAGCCTTGCATTGGCTGGCCCTATTTCCGCAGACCACCAAGCCCTGTGCACTGCCACCCGATGGCAAACCTGTGCCATCAGCTGCCCTGTCCACCTGGTCACCACTGATAAATACACATCTCATGCCAAAGATCTACCAGCAGCCATCACCAGTGGCACAGTGTATGAGGAAGTTAGGGCAGAAGGGAAGCGGAGATGAAATGTGGCAGTCACAGGAGGTGTGTGCAGCTAGCTATGTTTTTCCACTCCACTGGGGGTACAGCCAACCTGTTCTCCTGGTCTATATATGGCAGTAAACAGGATGCTAACAGTAGGATAGAGGTGGTGTGCCATATGTACCCCCATTATCCTGTTGTTTGGACCAAGATTGTTGAGCATAGAAAGGCCTTTCTCAGCACTACTAAATCAGCGATAAACATGACCAACTTCCCTGGAAACTCAAACGACATTACTTGTGGGTAGCACTAAATAGCTTATTAGGCCATAGGCAGCTACCACTGTGTGCATGATGTGTGTATAAGAGCTTGTGTGTGGCATGTACTCACGGCAGGTACGAGGAGCTTCTTGACCTCCTCCACTGCTCTCCTCATCTTGAGCTCAGCTCTGGCCTGTGAATCTTCCACTGTGATCAGGACATGAAGGTCTTCGTTTAGGTGTTCCCAGTTTGGCTTTCCTCTGTTCTGCTCCTCCTGGACAGAGATAGAGGGAGAGCGAAAGAGACGGTGAGTGAATGTGACAGTGTGGGTGTGTTGGAGCACTAGTGCAGTAACACGGCATATCAGAGGAAGCGGAGGCGAGAGGCAGGCATACACAGAGGACGACGGGGCCCTGTGAAGAGAAGCAGGATGACAGGAGCGGCCCTTTAGTCAGCTATTTAGCTTTAACTTTGAAAGGACACCCTTCTTTAATAGATCCCTCATTTCACAGAGACAAAGACGACAGCTAGCCCTGCAGCAATTAATATCAGTGAAAGATGGATGGGTGGAGGGATCAGAGAAAGATGGATGGGGATTTTCTAAGCCACACCACCTTAACTAGTAGAAATGCAATTATGATACATGGATATAGTTCAAAGCGCCGCAGGATTGTGTGTGAAGGTGTACAAGCGTGTGCCTCTGTCTTTGACTTGTGTTTGAGTGGACAATGCTGTCCAGGTAACAATAGCTCTCTCAGGGAGTCGTTTTCCCTCCTGAAAAGGCAGCGCCAAAGCACTCAGAGGGCGCCAAATTGTAGCACTAGCAGTACCTGAAAGGCAAAATGGGCTGTATTCAAAACCAACATCACTGCTCGATAGCCTTTCAACACTTTTAAATAGGAAGCCGTTTCATGATTTGAATTGGGAAAGCTGAGGTTGGGAAATGGTGCACAACGTTTTTTCAGGTGCCTCCGTGAAAAGCCCTGTCACACCTGAATCTTTTGTGAAAAGGTAAAATGGGAAATGTAGAGACAAATATGGAGTAGCCCTCACATTTCCAGTTAAAAAACAAAAAAAAATAAAATAAAAAGCGCTTCTCCATTTAGCATAACTACTTTCCTCCCTCTTCTGGTTGCCCTGCTGACAGTAAATGCAGCGAGCAGACACTGAGAGCGCTCTAAAAAGCTTTTGAGGTTGTATCGCATGTCACTGTACAACCATGAAAGCCAGCGGTTTGAAAGACGACTACTTCTCCCTGAGGTGAGGAGTTGAGGTCTAGGTTGTCTGAAAAAAACTTAACCTCAGATTCTCTGATGTGTGACACCACATTAAAACATCAAAAATGGATTATAATGTTACAATGGCAATATTTGATTTTATGAAGACAACAGGAACGTCAAAGGGAATGTAACTCAAAAATATTTCAAAATTTCTTTCCCAAAAAGGAGGTCAGAGTCTCAAGTACTTGACAGCCTCACCGCTTGTACAGGTTTGTACAGACTGCTGATTAACACTGTGTGGATTAACCCCCACCCATACAAACCACCTCAACTTCAGATCCCTGCTCATTTGTGAGTAGTGCGCAACTGTGAGGGTGTCTAATTACAAACAATGCATTGCAGTGGTCTGCAGGGGGTCCACCTGACATGATTTCAATACACTCAATGAGAGGGAGAAGAAGCTTACACACACACACACACACACACACACACACACACACACACACACACACACACACACACACACACACACACACACACACACACACACACACACACACACACACACACACACACACACACACACACAGCTTAGAGCTTCAGCTGAGTGCCACCCACCTTCTTTCTACTCCAGAGACCTGTTGCCATGGCACTGCTCTTTACAACACACGCACACACGCACACACACAAAGTTCAATATTCTACTCTCGTTTTCTCCTTTTCCACACAGGGGGGAGGGCCTAGTTTCAGCAGTCAGGCCATTATTTCACCATAGCTGTTTGCTTATGGCCTATTAGGGGACATGGGGACTAGAAGGTGACTCAGCATTTTCTAGAGGGGACACGGACAGACATGCCACAAGGGCTGCCTCTGTATGCAGGGCACTGTATAAAAGCACATGGTAAATGCATAAATGCACATTTATTGACAGATTGTTGCTTTAAGTGGGAACCAAAAAGATAAGTCGATCACATGTCTATGTGTGTGTGTGGGATTTTGATTTGGTTAGGATTGTGGCCAACAGAACTGGGAACAGAGACGTGCACAGACAGCCAGACACACAGACACACGCACGCAGCTCACACCAGCATGGTTGCCTGTGAACAAGGTCACTGTGTGCCCTCTGAGAGAAAGTGACAGCATGACAAACACGAGAAAGGGAGGGTGGAGGGGCGCAAAGTGGGAGGGTGAGAAAAGAGAGGGGAGGTGAGATGAGTGCTAAAGGGAATACTGGGAAGGCCTTTGCATAGAATGTCCACACTGGCCGACATCAAATGGCATGGCAATAACCACATACCAGAGGGTAATCAGTTTTGGGGAAATATGCAGCATGAATTGATTGAGCACAGACACTGCATCTAGAAACAATATCTAAGAATAGGATCAGAGTGGAAAGACTTGCTAGTCAGTTATGTTGCCTGACTTCCATCGTCTGTACAGCACCTGTTTGCTTGCTGGCTTTCACACCTCTCAATAGAGAGTTGTGTTCCATGTTGAGAACTGAGCCCAATAAACTTTAAGGCCTCAATTCTCAACATGGATGACACCACATGCAAAAAAGGTCACAAAAATAGAAGCCTTTCTTCAGACTCTCTGTTCCCTTTTTTAGGTTGTACTAAAAACAAGAGTGGCAGTTCAATCTGGTTGTTCACATATCACTTTATTGATCCTATTTATACCGTCATTTCGTCTGCCCCCTTCCACAGGGAAGTTATACTACAGGGCCAGGTACCCCCTTGAAGCTGGAAGCGATTTATTGCATTGCTCAAGGACACATAATAGGGTGCACATTTGCACACACAAAGCTTTCAATCCTTGCTGTTGTGGCTGAAGGTCAGTCCTACTTAATATACCACATCGCTGCCTCAACAGGATTTTGGGCTATGTGGCATGACGCTTTTGTCCTGGCAATGTTGCACTCTAACACTCATAAATTAAAAAACTATTTGCACTGTTTCAACTCTGCCTCTGCCGCTCTGAACAGTCCCTTCTCCTTTGATCCTAAAGGACGCTCCAAACTGGGGTCAATGCAACTGAGGCTAAATGCCAGCAGACCAAACAGGTGCAGTAGGGAGCTACAGGGGCATGGAAGGACAAGTGAGGGCAAGTAGGGCTGATGAGGAGAAAGAAACCATATTACAGCACACCGTAACAGAAAAAATATATTAAAAAAATTATAGCTCCAGTAAATAATGTTGCATGGGCCTCAACACCTCGTGCTATTTGCCATCCATGTCTCCTGAACCATCGTCTCTCTCCAAGCCATTTGCAGCTAATAATTCCCAAGGCACCAAAAGTAACACCTGTACATTGTTCTGTTTTTCTCATGAACATAGTAGCTCCCCGTAAACTCAAACTTTTCAGTTGTGCTGGGTCAAGTAATCAGAAACCAGAAGATGAGGGAAAAAAAACACAAGTCAGCTTAAACTTTAAACAAAACAAATGGGCTTGCTGCAGGGCCAACTGGCAAATCGAGTCCAACACACTGACTGCCAATGTCACACATTGGTTATTAAGCACTAAAATGTGGGAGCTGTGCTGTGGCACTATCTATTGGCTGGCGAAAATAAAAGGTCCAAGCGTGGGGTCTATTCTGTTCTTCTAGTGACCATGCTGATACCACAGTCTTAGCTATAAGGTGAAAGAAATTAATTTGCCATAGAGCTTTTCTCAAAGTGGAAGTCTGAAAGGACAAACTACAACAGCTGTCTATGGTGCTAACTGTAATCTCACACTGCGTGATAGCCAAAATAGAATTAGGGAATTGTTTTTTCAAAAGGGAGGGAAATCCCTATTCTACTTGCGCAATGGTCGATATAAGGCACCTGTAATTTAATTGCTGTTGTTCCTGCTGTTGTTTTGCATTAAGCATGACTGTAAGAGTGAAAACCAGGGGGACTCCAGCTGCCACACTAGATGAGTGAAGTTTGATTGGAATAAGGCTCCAGGAGCCTTTTTTCTTACAACTGATTAGACAATAATCACCAAAAAGGACATAGCATACAAGCTTCAGCCTTTAGGGGAGTGTTAAAAGAACAGCCTTCCAAATAGACTGGAAGAGGGCTGAATGTAGTGGTGTCATAAACACCTTAAACGAAGTCCTCTCTATGGAATTAGTGTGTGATCCATCCTGGCCTCTCAACAAACATGTCAAAAAAAGGATGTCTGATAGTCTCAAAGTGCAAGTACATTCCTGTATTTTCTCTGGATACTCAGTCACCGTCACCTTAAATTTGGTCTTGTTTGATCAGAGTATTAAGTGCAGTCTTGGGGCAGGTTATTATCCTGTTTTCCTTACTTCAGTCTCCCATTATTTGAGCTAAAAAGTCCCACCCACTTACATACACAGGTGGGTTTGGTTATTTCATCATTTTTCATTCTATAAATATTTCTGCAGGTCTTTCTAATTTTTTTAAAGCTATATAGGTATTTACAATTGGCAACATTTAGAAAAATCCTCAGACTAAAAATTATTTATACCACAGTGACTGAGACTTGTGTTAAGGTAACAATTACTGTTTATCTTTGTGCTCAAAATTACCTACAGTAGTAGATACTCATTTATCTTTTTTTAAAATATAGAATAAAAGAGAAAATATATTGTCTGGCCGTGGCTAACGAAGCAAAGGGTATCTCAAAAAAGGATTGGGGATATCAGTATTCAGTGACAGCAGGCTTGAACAGTTCTTATGGGAAGAATTAAATGACAGCAGTCAAAATAATTTGCACACAAAATGTTATAGGAAACAATCAAAGAAAATCTGTAATGCAGGGTTATTATAGGCTAGGTGTCAAATACAAGCTGTATTATGTACTAAAAAAAAATATATAGCAAAATAAAATTACAAAGCATATGAAAGGGATTGGAAGTGAAAAAAGTCATCAAGACATTCCTAATTATAAGCATTATATTTGAAAAGTATGACATTTTCGCCCGCTTCTTTCCTCCTTATTTTCTACTTGATCTGCTTTTCTTCTCTCACCATTGTTCTTCATTTTACTCTGCTTCTTTCTCTCTCTCTTTCAGTCTCTGCTTGACTCTCTCCCATCGCATAGCTCCAGTGAGCCGACTCCCCGCCAGGCAGTGCGGCCCAGGAGGGAGCAACCAGCTGAATTATTGAGAGCATAAAAACGCTGCCGCTAATGGATCCTGAATAAACACACTGGCTAAGCTGCTCCCGCGGCTTCCTCTGCTGCCACAGGGCATCAAGCTGAAAATACTGAGGTTGAGGATGCAGCGACCGGAGCCTACGGCTGAGGCTTTGTCTGGGACTGAGCCACAGTTATGACACACTTGGGCCATCCAAAAGATTTTGGGGTACAGGGAGCAAACCTACTAGTGATTCTTGTGATTTATTGACAGTGGAAGCAGTGAGGGATGTAAAAACCAATGAAAAAATGTTTCCTCATTATCTTTTCCCCATCTTAACCAAACATTACAGTTAATATATAAACTTGAACAGCGTATTCCACTATAATTTAACTGGAGTAGCATATGAAACATTTTAAATATTGGGTTATTCCCTGACGTCATCCCATATCAAAACACTAAGTAAATAAATTATATTTTTGTATAAATGTTTAACTGTATTGGGCCTTTGTTAGGGTAGTAATTGCACAGGGCCTTTGACAGGTCCCTCCAAACAAACTGGCACACATCATTAAGTTTTAAGATGGTAAGAGATTATGAAGGTAATCATAGATTCATGTAATGAGCTAAGACAAACTTCTAGTGTGAGTGTGACTGTGTGTGTGTGTGGGTTTGTACATGCTTGAGTGTGTTCACTCTCATTTAACTGCTTCTGGATCTAATTCCAAAGAAAGAACCATAGCACAGTGTCTTCATCTTGTTCTGTGATAATGAACGCACTCCAAGGGAAATGAGAAGAAGAGAGAAATTAAAATACGAATGGAGAGGCCATAAAAAAGGAGGGAAAAAAATGTTGGCCCTGCAGCAAACTGGAGCTTCTAAGATTATGACTCAGCTGAAAATCTGCGTACATATGTGTGTATGAACCCTTTTTCTGATACGATGCACTGTGCGCGTGTGCGTGTGTAGAAAAGGTGTTTCCCATACGAAGATGAAATGCACTTCTGCCTGATGTAAATGCAATGGAATATAGCACCACTGCCTGGCAAATCAGAGCAACTGGAAGGTACAAACAAAGGGAGAAGGGGAGAGATTTAAAAAATGCAAAAATGCAACTCCAAAAAAGGTGTCACTCAGTGAAGAAGAAAGAAAAAAAACCAAATAAAAACAACAGAAAAAAACAGCCGAAAGCAGCCATTATAGCACCACTGAAGCCCATGGGTAAAACATGCACAGATGCTTGAAATACCATTTTCAAAACTGTCAATTTGTCCTCACAGTAACTTCAAAGTACGTCACCAAATCTGATCTGACACACTTTGGAACCCCTAGAGGATGAGTGTAAGTTGCTGTTTCTGTAGAATGTGCCATAACTTAACTTTGTAGACATACAACTGCGAGGTTGACCTGATACTTGTTCAATACATGACAACATGAAACACAGTCTGACTTTCATCAACATTATTTTTCAACTGTCAGTCTGGATTTTTAAATGCCATGTGACAGGGCTGTTTACGGCCAAAACACATTGCGCAAAATTTTGTGGAGATGCACAATTTGCAGGTTAAATAGCACAAAAAGGTTTTTACATAAGTTCTCCCCTTGGGTCTCAGGAAATATAGACACACAACATTAGCCTTTTATGTCTTCAACCTCAGCTCAGTAGGGCCAGAAATAGAGGCTGCCCCTGGCCTTAGATGTCTGCTTTACTACCGAGTTCTGTACTTTCCACTGCACAGCGTTTTGCAAACAACCCTATCAGATGTCAGAATGCAGCCACCAGGCATCAACAGAGCTTGTGTCTGCCTCATGTTTCTACAGGACTAGTGGGATGTTTTTGTGTGACAACAGTCCCAGCTAGGCTCACGTTATTGTGTAATATCTCAAGACAGAGAATAAATCCTTGTGGAGAAAGAAAAGAAGTGAGCTTTAGTGTGTTCTGTTAAAATAAATGTAAGGCTTTTTTTATTTATGTGAGTGGACTTTTATCTAATGAGTAATACAGTTACAAAGAGATAAAAAGACATTAAACACACTGGGTACACTGCAATGCGGATGAGCTTACCTTCTTCTTGTCTCTCATGGAGCTCTTGCCTCGCACCATGATTTTACATCCAGTCTCTGCTTCCAACTGTTTGGCTGTGAGTCCCCGAGGGCCAAGAATTCTCCCCACGAAGTTATACTGCAGAAGAGAGAGAAACAAACCGGTGAATATTGGGTGTGAAAGATTACTAAAAATTTAAATTTCCTTTACATCAATAACAAGAGCTGAATTTAAATGGTCGAAGTTCATCTTGAATTTGCTGAAGACAAACAATAGGCAGAATTATGTACATGCACATACACACAGACAGACAAACATACATACGTATTGATTTCACTTTCCATGAGCTTCAAAAGAGAATGACATCAGCTTTCCTGGATATCATGCCTCTGCTGCCACGACTACACATACCACACCAAATCTACTACATGTCACTTTCTGCCTTTCTAGGACAAAGAGAAGGTGGCTGCCCCTCAGTCACGGTCTCTCCTGCAACATTGCTAAATCATTACATTGTTGGTTTTTTTCCCCTTTCCTCTCACAATGGTGGCAGCACTGCTAGAGAGAAGTAGTGAGTAAAAAATATTACCAAGAAGAAGGGTGTTCAAAAGTTACACAGGCTTCCTAAAAAATTTATTTGAGATTGTTTTTAATTTTATTTCCAACAACAAATAGAAAACAGAAAATTAACTATTTGACTGGGTGAGAATGGTGGGTAGGAAAGAAGGGGGATATGGAATAGAGAGGATGTTGAGGGGGAGGTGAGTTGTGAGGTGAGGTAGTGTACTTGACACAATTTTCTTATCAATGTCCCTTTTTACTGGTGTGTGGCTTTGGAGCTTTGTACCAAAAGGAAACGCATTTAACAACGTAATCCTCTCCACTTGAAACTGGCTTCCAACGGGATAAAGGGAAAATGTGTTGAAATAATCCAACACAATTTTCAGCCAAAATAAAAACAGAAGGAAAGGAGGAGAGATGGGGGAAACGGAGAGTACAGTGACGCATAAAAGAGGTAAACAAATCACCTGTGTTCAAACAGTGCGCACAGTGGCTGGTGGAGAGCGTGATGGGTAAAAGATCTCTGACACTATTTAAATGGGATGAAAAAATTCCAAACCTGAAATATTCAAATGCTTACTGGCATAGTGGAGAGCTTTCCTTGACAATGAGAAGCACGACTGTTCCGTCTCTGGAACTGTTACAATGAGCCGTGACACTGCTGCATTAAATTCTTAAACGCAGTCACATCTGCTTACGCACTGCACCGCACCAATGCCTCTGCAAAATCCAAAAGGCCATCAGAGAAGTCGCATTTAATTACAGAGGGATTACAAATGTAACGCAGTGTTGGTGTATTTCCCATAAACTACGTAAACAAATACTGGTGAGGACAGTCAAAAACCCCCAGGATGTTTTTCTTTGTCCCCCCGTCACTGGGATTGCCAGCAACCGTAGCCTGTCAGTCTCTGACAGGAAAGACACACCCTGAGATGCCGAAGTCCCTGCGGATGATCATGCATACAGCTACACAGGCTTTATGAGTTTTTCCTCTGTTTCAAGGCAACTGTCTGTTTGGTTAACTCAAATCAAGGAAACTGGCGGAGGGGCTATTTGCAAGAGTGTGAGCGCCTACTGAAGGATACAGAGGCACCTGTCCTCGGAGGTCAGCCACCAACGATGCACGGTGGCCTGCTTCTGACACGTAGTAAAAGGCACACACAAGACACACACACAGAGACACACACACAGAGACACCACACACACACACACACACAGAGACACACACACACAGAGACACACACACACACACAGAGAACACACACACACACACACAGAGACACACCACACACAGACACACACACACACACACAGAGACACACACACACACACACACACACCACACAGACACACACACACACACCACACACACACAACACAAACCACACACCACCCCACACACACAACCACACACACACACACACACACACACACACACACACACACGCACACACACACACACACACACACACACACACACACACACACACCCTCAAGGAGCGCAGGAGAAAGCTGTCTGTCTGCATCACAGTACCCGCTGCAGACGAGGGTGAACCTCCAGCTCTTGGCTTTATGGAGGTACTGTGGTACTCCTACACAATATACATCAACAGACATGGCCTCTAACCTATTAAAGAGAAGCTACAGTGACGATGTCCTGGGTGTTGTTGCACACCCTACCCTGGAAGCAACTGCAGTATCATATTTTTAAAATGCTAGCTGTCATTTGGCACACATAAAACGTGCATCTACAAGGTTTCAAAAGTTTCTATATTTATATGTCGGTTTCCGTGCAGACGTGTGACAGTTCCCACCAGCCTAACAGGCGACAATACCTTCCATCAGTCCAAATCCCATCAGATTTGCACGCCATGAATATATTAAATACGTACAGTAGATGAATTACAGAGCAAGCTCCAAATGTCAAACAGACAAGGGGAAGGGAAAAAGTATATCTGATCCAAAGTACGAGGCTAGTTATAAAATCCCCAAATGATACAGAAAGAGCATTTAATATTTTATTTTCTGCCATTCTCTCTCTTTGTTGCTAATACCATCCTCCCTCCAACAGTGGAAGGTGTTTCTCTGTGGACATGAATATGTTGATGACAATTGGACTTGACAGTGACTAGGGCCTGATGGAGGAAAGCAGAGAGAAATAAAGAGAGAAAAGGTTAGAGAGATGATGACACAAGAGCAGAAGGGAAAAAGTCACGAACGCCTTGTTTTTTCCAGTACTAAGGGAGAGCAGGATGAGGGCAGGAAGGGCCAACACTGCCACCACATTCTCACAGTTTTCCTACTCGCTGTGGAACTCAAGTCCATCTGATAGGACACTCTGGGATAAAGTGTGAGGGCAGGCAGTTACGTGTGTGTAGCTAAGGTAATGGTCATCCCTCCCTGGAGCAAGGCCATATGGGTGAAGGCTCAGATGTATAGTATTTTCATGTTGACAGAGGCATGAGCACAAACTCGCACAAACATACGAGCAGAGAGTAGGCGTCGTGTCTGGCCAAGCAGTTACTGCAAGTTTCACTAAGATGCATCACTCAAAAGAAAATGTAAAAACAAACAAACATCAAATGACTGCGTTATTAAAGCATCTGACCACAAACTGGCAATGTAACAAAAGATAGTATTGCCTAATCTTAATAACACCTTGCAATTAGAAGTGTAACTCTACAATAAAGACAAGTGCTTCCAAAATCATCTCAGTGATGGAACAAAGCTCAATGTTAACTGTAGTGGATGGCTCTTTCCGCTCCCTGGCTTCCTGCTCTGCACCGAGGGTTTGACATTCTTCTCGTGGATGTTGATATGCTGTTAGAAAAGGCGACCTCCATTTTAAGCCACCGGAATGTAGAGACAATAGAAAGCCAAGCGGGTGAGTTATCAGAAGGGTGCAGGGCCATTGAGCCTGCCAGGAACTCCACTCAGTACAGCCAGAGGAGTAGGATGGATACTGTGCCCTCTCTGCCAAATGCATCCGCTCTTCACCTCCTCTTGCTAAACTATTTAGCCTCCTCCGCACCTACTAAAAAAAGCTAGTTTTCATTCCCGCTGTTACATCAACTCCACTGGCTCCACAGCCTGAGGTCTTTAAAAAAAAGAGTAACGTCTGGGAAACACCATGGCTTGTCAACTGGATTTCCCAGACTCCGCACCCTCAACAAGACCTTGAAGCAGCCACTAGTGACAGCAAAATGTATTGAAATTTAACATGCTTTAATAATTATCATAATTAATGCATGAACAAAAAGTGTCTTTCCAAGTGTTGATCCAACCACAACGAGAAACAGAGAGCAATAGGGCAATCTGGGGTTGAACCAAACTATTTAAAAAAGTATGTATATCTACCAGCTCTATTTAATCATGCACTACTGTCAGCATCCATCTGGTGAACAGAAAACATGCATAAACTATGAGTTTTGCTGACTTGGAGACTCCCAGCTGTCTCCTTTTCTCTTTGCCGCACTCTTATTTCCTCTGCTCATTTACAGCATTAGAAGATTAGAGACACTGGGACCCTTTGGTGGACAAACTCTTTTCCTCACTCCTGTGTTTCAGTCTCGTTTTATCTCTGTTTTCGCAAAGTTTCTTAAACAAACACACAAATACAGAGAAACGCATACAGCATATACAAACATAGTTCGTGTGCAAACACAGAAAGACAGACAGACAAGCACACATACACACAAAGCCCCCTTCAGGACAAGGGCTTACACTGACATTAAAGGGCCTTTGTTTAGCCCCAGTTATCGCTACTCCACAGGCGGGTTATGTTGTGAGCATATCTACGTCTATGCCACTGTGTGTTTTATGAGCGCGAGTGTGTGAGTGAAACCACAATGTATGAAGTGAACTCTTGCAGACACCCTCGGCACCCAGAGCTGATTGTCACATGGGTTTGTGTGCATGTGCATTGTGGTTTGTTTTTGCGTGAACAACTGAGAAACAACAGCAGTTCCACCAACAATGCTCAGAGAGGCAGAACAATTGTGTCTTTGACGGCGTTTGTTTGTGGTGGTGGGGAGACAGGAAATGAGATCATGCTGAGGGCTCTGGTTGTGTGAGCGCGGAGCTTATCGAAGAGCAGGGCCAGGCCAGGAGGAGAATACCAATCGCTTATTAGCCGGCCTCGTCGGGTTTATGGAAATGAGGAACAGTTCATTCAGTGCAATGTATCAAAGCAAGGTGGAATCTGTGGTTACACCAGGCACTGCCATCTCTCCCCAGCTTTCTATCTCTCCCCATCTTTTCATTCTTCCTCTGACTCACTTGATTCTAACTCTCCCTTAATGTTACAAAGTATCATTGTGAAACAGCTCATACCAAAGTAATGGCTAACCATTTATCAAAGCAAAACTCCCCTTTGCTCATACCTAAGATACCTTCGGTCTCATTTCACCTCAAGTTACAGTATTTAAAGGTTTCACAGAGAGGGCATAGAGTTGAACAGTGCTATTAGTTGCCAAAATAACTCTCTCCTTTAACACCTCCTCTTTTCGGTTTCTGGAAACTGAACAGGCTTCCTTTTCTTCTTTGTCTTAGTACATAGGATCTTGCCTTTCCGCTCT